AAGGGAAACAGAGAGACGGAATAACGAGAGACAAAGCCAAATATCAGTAACCAGAGTAAACCAAAGACCCCAACAGGGCACTGAGGAAAGGGAGGGGTTAGCTTATATACACACAGGGTGTGTCTGATTGGCTAATCTCCAATTAGTGTTAACCACAACCCGTGGGAGGAGTTTCTTCCCTCCCTTGTGGTCTCTGAGACCATCACTGTGTGCCGGGTCACATAACCGGGTTCAGCACACATATAAGGAAGCTGCTCTGGAGCGTGCAGCGTCAGACACACGGCCAGTCTGGAGACAGGGACCAGATGACGCCGCTCGCAATGTCTGTCTGTCGGTGAGTGAGTGTGTGTCAGTGAGTGAGTGTATGTTTGTCAGTGAGTGTCTGTGTGTATGTCTGTCAGTGAGTGAGTGTATGTCTGTGTGTCAGTGAGTGTATGTGACTGTGTGTCAGTGAGTGTGTATCTGTGAGTGTTTGTGTCTGTCAGTGACTGAGTATGTGTCTGACAGGGAGTGTATGTGTGTGTGTTTGTCTGTAAGTGACTGTGTGTCTGTCAGTGTGTGTGTCTGTTAGTGTGTGTGCTCGTCTATGCTAGTCTTATTATTCACCAAATGCATTGAATACATCATTTTTCACAGCGATAAATTATGTATTCAATGTACAATGTATGTAATAGGCAGTGTATATGGATGCATGTGTTAGACAGTGTGTGTTTATGGATGTACGCATTAAGCTGTATGTGTGTATTAGGCAGACCTAACTGGAAACAATATGGCAACATTTAAACCAAAATAGCTGATCTAGAAGATGCACACACCCTGACACAACAACACACACTGACATATACACACCCTGACACACAGATAAACACACACATATACACACATACACAGGCAGATACACAGAAACACACACTGATATACACACAGCTACACACACTGACACATACATGCACCTTGACATAGATACACACTGACATATACACACACAATCTAACATACATACACACATTCATCATTTTTTTATTTGCAGCCTCCTTTCAGCTTACCTTTTGTGTCCAGGAGGGTGGCTTGCTTGGGATCCTGCCAAATTATGTTTTATTAATAGAAGTTACATTAGTTACATAGTGTTCCTTACCACCCACTCCCCTCCCCTGTCCCATAGTATTCCTTACCACCCACTCCTCCCCTGTCCCATAGTGTTCTACCACCCACTCACTCCCCTGTCCCATAGTGTTCTCCTTACCACCACTCCCTCCCTGTCCCATAGTGTTCCTACTTCACCCACTCTCCCCTGTCCTGTATAGTGTTCTACCACCCACTTCCCCTGTCCCATAGTGTTCCTTACCACCCCCTCCCCTCCCCTGTCCCATAGTGTTCCTTACCACCCACTCCCCTCCCCTGTCCCATAGTGTTCCTTACCACCCACTCCCCTCCCCTGTCCCATAGTGTTCCTTACCACCCACTCCCCTCCCCTGTGCTATAGTGTTCCTTACCATCCACTACCCTCCCCTGTCCCATATTGTTCCTTACCACCCACTACCCTCCCCTGTCCCATATTGTTCCTTACTACCCACTACCCTCCCCTGTCCTATAGTGTTCCTTACCATCCACTAACCGCTCAGTGAGCACTTCCTTTCAGTCCGGCCAGGTACAGGAAACAGAGGTTCCTGTACCGCGGTGCGTACACATTCGCTCCATAAGACGCACAGACATTTCCCCTTACTTTTGAGGAGGAAAAAAGTGCATCTTTTAGAGCAAAAAAATATGGTATCTAAAAGTCTACTCTTACCTAAGACTCTTATTTAGTTATTAAAAATAATAAAAAAAAACCTGTAAAAATTCCTAACTTTCTTTGTTATCGAGAAGGGATTATTGTATAAATCAGTATTTTAAAATACCACTTATATTTACATAAATATTTCTAATCCATTAATATCATTCGCCTACATACATATAGAGAAAGGGTGGCCCTATAGGGAGTTATTGTAGATAGTCCCACACTGTTTAGTTGTTTAGTGCAGTAAATGTCACATAACCTCTGAGTCACAAGTTCTACTAGTGAAAAGATTTGTGACCTTTCATCAAGACTAGGTCAGTAAAAGGATTGTAATTGAATTAGGCATTGGTCCATCTCTATTTCTCTTTATCTACATATTCTCATTATTTCCTGCATTTACCTACAACATGGCAGTAAGTTTCACAATCAACATTTCTTGTTATGATTTAGAGTGTTGCAACCACTTTATTGTGAAATAATTGGCAAAGCGGGCTTGATTTTTTCTAAACGCTTAATAAAATGATCAACAAAAATAATGTTTGTAGAACTGGCTTTTTATATACTGAACACTGACAGGATTATTCACTAAAATAAGAATTCAAAGGGGTTTTCAAATATAAGGCCAAAGCAATCAAACTGGAAGATGACTTTTGAGAATTTTTCTGGTTCGGCTCTTTTGACCTTACATTTAAAATTCACATTGATTTCACTTTGAATTCTCAATTCAGTGAATAACCCTCTGAATAGTAATAAAATGAAAACCAAATTCAAAATTCAGCCTAAAAGTTCATACTGTAAGTACAGCAGATATTTTGCCTGCGTTTTACAATTTCTAGGGTTATTCACTGAAGGCCCTGTTTACCGAATGGGGTCAAACATTCCAGTGCTATATGGGGCCAGTTGGACCATAAAATCCAGACATTGTTTATGCTATTTAACAAGGTAATTTACACACAAGGCTCCGAATGTCACTGAATATGGTCTGGATTTCAGCTGGATCAAGCGCTGCCGGATGGCAAATAATTAAAGAAACACTATTGGGTCAAGAACACAAACATGTATTCCAGATCCTATAGTGTTTAAAACACCATCAAGCCCACCTGGCCCCTCTTGCCTCCCTAAATATAGTAAAATCTTACCTTTATTCCAGTCTGCTGCTGCTGGTTCTGCCCCTGATCTGCCTCATTGGTTGATATCATCTGAAGTGTTGATCTGAGCCAATCACAATGCTTTCCCATAGGATTGGCTAAGATTTTCAAGGAGGTAGATTAGAAGCAGAGCCAAACACAGCCCTAGCCAATCAACATCTCCTCATAGATCATACTGTGCATACCACTGTCCACCACTCAAATTTGTGACATTGCCCTCCCCACGTGGTTAGGTGTCCCAACTGAAAATAAAGTATCCCTTCTTAACCCCACTAATAACTTTCTTACACAAGATGCTTCCAAGGAGCTTGTCCATGCTCTAGGAATTTCCCGCATGGATTACTGTAACCCTCTCCTGACTGGTCTCCCCAAAAGCCGTATTGCCCCGCTAAAGTCTGTAATGAATGCTGCAGCTAGACTGATTTTCTTCTCTAGTTGGTCCTCTCATACCTTACCCCTCTGCCAGTCCTTACATTGGCTCCCTGTATCCTATAGGAGTAAATTCAAAGTGCTAACCCATACATTTAAAGCACTGAACAATTCTAGCCCCTCTTATATCTCCTCACAGATCCATAGGTATGTCCCTTCTTGGTCTCTCCGCTCTTCCCGTGACCTTCTTCTGTCCACTGCTCGCACCTGTACGGCCAACTCGTGTTTGCAAGACTTCTCGCGGGCTGCTTCTTTCCTATGAAATCAGACTCTCCCCTAGTCTTCAATCATTTAAAAAGTGCCTTAAAACTCATCTCTTTAGTAAAGCTTATGGCCTCCCAGAGTAACCTCTACCTTACATACCCGTCTCTTGCTCTCTCCTGTAGGGCAGTGCTTTACTCTCTCCTCCAGCTCTGCTTCACTCCCACCTTATTTGATTGATATTTCCTGTCCTAACGTGTCTTATACCCCACCTCCTATAGACTGTAAGCTCGTTTGAGCAGGGTCCTCTTCAACCTATCGTTCCTGTAAGTTTTCTTGTAATTGTCCTATTTATAGTTAAATCCCCCCTCTCATAATATTAGAACGCTCTGATTGTTTGGCTCATACGCCAATGAACCAGAGCACTCTCAAGGACAAGTCTCATTTCTCTCGAGACTTTCGATGGGCGTCCACAGAAGGGAATGACAATGGCAAATGGCATATATTTTTTGGGGGGGCAGTGGTCAATTTTGGTTTTTCAACCCTGTATATTTTATTAGTAGCATCTATCCACCAACCATGGATGGAGTCTAAGGGGACACTCTAATGTCCCCCATTTTATAATTAATGTACCCACCTGCCCAATATGGTTAAAGGCTCCAGGGGAGTCTCCCTCAATATAAAATTAGTAGACACCTACTGCTGCCCATGTGTGGGGACTGGGACATTGAGTCCACCTGTATACATTTTGTAGCCTCCACCCATTGACTATGCCACTCTGTCTACCACCCCCCACCCACCCATTATTATTTAATGTAATGTTCCCCACCCAATGCACATGGGTTGGTGCAGAAAGGGGATTACGGCTGACCGGATTTTCCATGAGTAAATATGAGAATTGCAATTCTAGTTGTCTGAATTCTGCAATTTTAGTTAATTGCTTGTTGGTTTTCAATTCAGTACAATTTACTGTTTAGTGAATGAACCACTCAATTTACACCACTGGGGGTAATAATCTATTGTTAAAAGTTAATTTTTTTTGGCTCTTGTTGGGTGGGGAGGGTTCAACCTTTTAATATATCACATGGTTTCTGATCAGATTTACACCAGGGGCCAATTATTCCAAAACATACAGGTTTATTGCAGAAGTAAAACCAACATTTATCTTTTGTCTAACTTGTAATCTTTCATTCACATATCATAAAAAACATACAGGGTTATACACTAAAGCAAGATTTATTGGCAAATTAACGTAGATAAACATAATTGAATGTTTTTGCCATTGAAACTAACTCATGCTTCAAGGAGCAACTTTTTACCCAGATTGAAAGAGTTTAAACATCTGACCTTGAACCTTGTGGGCACTCGGGAGGGGGCGGGATAGTAACTGGAACTGTTGTCACTAACCATATAAACAGAAAGAAACTGTCTGAATTCCTTACATACACCATGGCACTGCCCGCGTTGGTTATACTGCCTGTTACCTGGGTCCTGCTGGCTCTTTCTACTGCGCAAAACACCTGCCCAGGTAAGTGTTACATCACACAGTACTGGAGGTCTTAACACAGGTTGATAGTCACATGCAAATACTTGCACTCAGTCTGCTAAAGGCATTCATTTATTTAAACCGAAAAACAATTTCATGCAAAGAAATTGAATTTAACTAAAAATCATGTCTCCAACTCGGCTATAGTCATAGTATGGCTATTCTAGTCTAAAATTAGCTTCTGAGGTTTTAAATTTACTACAACTCAGAGTGATTTGAATTTTTTAGACCAAATTAGCCAAACTAAAAACTGACTTGAAGAAATTCTATTTCAATTCTAGACAATTCAAACCTTATAGAAGAGTTGACTGTTGAAAAGTATTTTGTGAGGTTTAGTCTTATTGAATGTTATAAACCCCAAACTGAAGTGATATGGCCTGCTTTATAAAAAGAGTAGTACATGCACGGTATGTCCTCCCAGCTGAAATGGGAAAATAAACAATAAATGCCAGTTACCCATAAGATCAGTTATTGCAGTTTGTTCATTCTTGGTGAGGGTTTATTGACTATGTGAGGAGTTGTCAAGAACTGAGACGGAAGCTTTTAGGCTGAAATAGCCAACCTAGAAAAATAGGTGAGCTCAGATAAATTTTTCTAGTTGTTTAACCAGCTGTGAAATGTTTAAACATAACCGCTATACCCTAGATTTCCACAGTCTTTCTTTTGTTTCTACGTAAATGTCTCATCCTAATTTCTATGGTTCATTTCTTAAAGGAACATTCAAATCACCATAACCACTCCAACATTCAGAACTGGTTATGGTGCCAGAAGGGCCCTAGTTCCTTCCTACGTAAGTAGTAAGTGCCATAGTCCCTCCCCACATAAGTGGTTTTACTTTTTAAATGGGGTCGGTTGGTTGCCTCCACGGCAGCCGGAAACACTCAGCTCTGATCAAAGCCCGGTGGTGGGCTTAGCACAGGAGAGATAACGAGATAAGCAGGAGCTTCTGGCGAACCCCAAGTAAAGAGTTGAACCATTCTTATCGATCAAGTTCCGTTCCTACGACCCGGTCGTAGAACGAATTGGTTGGTAAGTGCAGAGTTAAGGGATTCCCTGCTCTGGTGCTTTCGTCTATGTTCGGGAAACTTCCCTGAACATAAACAAACTCACCAGAGCAGGAAATCTCTCTAATCTATGTCCAGGGGAATTTCCCCAAACATAGATTAGAGAGATTCCCTGCTTGATGCGTTCATCTATGTTCGGGGACGTTTCCCCGAACATAGACATGTGAGATTTCCCCGAACATAGATTAGAGGGATTCCCTGATCTGATGCGTTTGATTATGTTCGGGGAAGTTTCCCTGAAGTGCGAGCCATCGTCAAACAGGGAGGTTGCAAAATGAGGACCACGTGTACTTATAAGGGGAGGGAGCGCTACATCACTCCTGGTACCATAACCATTACAGTGTTTTGCAGTGGTTATGGTATGTTGCTTTAACTGTCAAAACTGGAAAAAAATATAGCTTAGAGGGATCACTAGATCAACTGTTTGCAGAGTAAGGAACAGCGCACACACACACAAAAAAATCAACATTTTACAAGACTGCTTAAAATCACCTACCTCAGCAAACAAATATGGGGATTCAGTTACACTATATGGCCACCTGGGGGCTGCGCACATAAGTGCCACCTGGTGGGACCGGTCCGGTGGCACTCAGAGGGGGCCGGCTGCGTTCCTGGCTGGAGCCGCCGGGCCGGGTGGCACCTTCCCCGGTCCGGCCCTGCTCCTGTCACTGGCTGTTGTGGCTGCTGATGGATGAAGGAGGAGGAGCCTGTCTCTGTACCATGCCCCCTTCGCGGTTCCCACAATTCCCAGCACAGGAACCGCGAGGGAGCATGGTACAGAGACAGGCTCCTCCTCCTTCAGCCATCAGCAGCCACAGCAGCCAGTGACAGGAGCAGGGACGGACCGGGGAAGGTGCCGCTCCAGTCTGGAACGCGGCCCCTGACTTCTCAAGGTAAATGGGGGGGGGGGGGGAGAGAGAGGGGAGGAGGAGGAGGGAGAGAGAGATGGGAGGAGGGGAGAGACACAGGGAAAGGAGGGAGGGAGAGAGAGGGGAGAGACACAGGGAAAGGAGGGAGGGAGAGAGAGAGGGGAGAGACACAGGGAAAGGGAGGAGGGAGATGGGGAGGGGGGAGACAGGAAAGTTGGGGCAGTGGGAGAGAGATGGGAGCGTGAGAGACATTATGTGAAAAGTGGGAAGTGAGAGAGATGGAGGGAGAGGAGAGACACAGGAAAAGTGGGGAGAGAGATAGGGAGAGAGAGAGACACAGGGAAAGTGGGGAGGGAGAGAGATGGGGAGCAGGGAGAGACACAGGGAAGCGGGGTGAGGGAGAGAGATGGGAGAGACACAGGGAAAGGGGGAGGGAGAGAGATGGATTGGAGGGAGAGAGGGAAAGGGGGGAGGAGAGACACAGGGAGGAGGGAGAGACACAGGGAAAGGGGTGAAAGAGGCAGAGGGGGAAGAGAGAGACAAAGCGGGAGAAATAAGAGAGAGACACACATGGGAAAGGGGGAAGGGAGAGAGATGGGGAGAGGGGAGAGACACAGGGAAAGGAGAGAGAGATGGGGAAAGGGGAGAGACACAGGAAAGGGGGGAGGGAGAGAGATGGGGAGAGGGGAGAGACACAGGAAAGTGGGAGGGAGAGAGATGGGGAAGGGGAGAGACACAGGGAAAGGGGAGTGAGAGAGATGAGGAGAGAGGAGAGACACAGGGAAAGGAGGGAGGGAGATGGGAGAGACACAGGGAAAGGGGGAAGGGAGAGAGATGAGGAGAGGGGAGAGACAAGAAAAGGGGGGAGGGAGAGAGATGGGGAGAGGGGAGAGACACAGGGAAAGGGGGGAGGGAGAGAGATGGGGAGAGACACATGGAAAGGGGGAGGGAGAGAGATGGGGAGGAGGGAGAGACACAGGGAAGGGGGGAGGAAGAGACACAGGCAAAGGGGTGAAAGAGGCAGAGGGGGAAGAGAGAGACAATGAGGGAGAAATAAGAGAGAGACACACATGGGGAGGGGAAGAAAGAGGCAGAGGGGGAAGAGAGAGACTGGGAAGGAGAGGGGAGACATTGACACAGAGGAGCAGTGAGGGGGAGAAAGAAACATATAGAGTGACTGGTGGACACAAAAAGGCACACAGAGGGGCTGGAGATAAAGAGACACACATAGGGGCAGTATATATCCCCCCCACCCTCCCAAGGTTTTCCCCTGCCTGCCGATCTCCCTCCCCGTTCCACAGGCACCGTGCAGGCAGCCGGCAGGGGAAGAAGAGAGGACCCGGGGCAACGCTCCGGCTCTCACAAGGGTGAACTCTAGTCCTGGAGCTACGGGCTAGAGTTCACTCTCACCACTTCCTGGTGGTCGCAGTAGTAGGAGTGAACTCTAGCCCCATACACACACTGCCCCACACACACACCATACACATTCTCACACTGCCCACCCACACACTGAACCTTTCACACACATTGCACCATTGCTCCTATACCCTACTACAGCCCCATATCCCAGCAGAATCCAGGTAAGTTGTCAAACTGTTCTTAAACGGTTTGACTACTTACTCTGGGAGGGGGTGCCAATGCTCCTGGCACCATAACCACTACACAGAGTGTGGTTATTGTGCATGGAATATTTCTTTAAATAATCTACAAGTTCCCCTCCTGGGCTCAGGCTCTGGATCCGCCACTGGTATATGACATGTATATTAATGTGTGTATTAATTATATATATATATATGTATATATATATATATATACCTATTATATTTACACATATTAATGTACATTTATATATGCATAATACACAGAGAAATATCATTAATATGTACCATATGTAATGAGCAGATATTGGCCCAGTCTTGTTTCTAGGTGCATACTCCAGCACAATAACATATTTAAAGTGAAGAGCACACCCACAGGACTTCAAGATAACGTCATTTTTTACAGTTGTGCCCTACATACATTCACCATTTCGGTCCCATTACCAAGCTTTCCTTAATATGTCAAGGTAGTTGGACTGAAACATTGATTACATGCAAAGGCACGTCTGCTTAAAATAAATTTGCACTTTTGTTTATTTTGAAGCCTATGAGTGCGCTTTTTAAGTTGAAGTACTTTTTAATTTTAAGTTATCTGTTCTAACTCTGTATCTGCACACTATGCTGGCGCGACGCATTATGGGGCTGGTAAATATTTTTTTTCCAGGGCTGCTTTTAATTCCCAGTCCGGCCCTGTAAGCTACATACAGAGCGTTTATTCAATGTTCAGGATGCTTTATAATTGCATTACTAACTATTTTTAAATTTTATTTCTAGAGGTGAAATTTACTGGCTTAAGTGGAACAGAAAAAGTTACTATTATTCAGGGATGTCCTGGTGTTCCAGGAACTGCTGGACCCAAAGGAGAACTAGGACCCCAAGGGCCAAGAGGTACTTTTTTTTGTCAACTGGGACTGTTATGAATCTTATTCTTTTTTATGATATTATTGCTTTTTTTTTTTTTATTGGTACCACTGTGTCTTACAATGTAACATTTCCAATTTTAATAGAAATGCATTATCTCCTTTAGTCTGGTAGGTCAGAAGATTCACATTTTACAGAGTAGAGGGTCTTCGATGAGCCACTGTACATAAAGATGTCCCACGCATTTTAGGGCACTAAACTCTCCTCTAGAACATGCAATGAAAATCCTGAGATACACGTATGAACTATTGACTTTGCCTAATAAAACATAAATATGTGTCTTCATTTTTATTAAAATGTTCTGATAATTTCAGGTGAGAAAGGTCTTCCGGGCATTATTGGTAAAATGGGCCCTCCCGGGTCAAAAGGTGAGCATAACATTGACTTGTATTGTGTAAGGTCCATCATGTAGTTGATTTTCAGAGGTTTTGTCGGGGAAGATACAACAATAAAAGAGGGGTTTTATTTATAACCATTTGTTAAGTTTCCTAGATCTGCTAGGCATCTATCTGCTGTACTTATTGACGCAGTGGCTGCCTCAACTATTAAAGAATTACAACTCTAATTGTCCTTGGCAAGCCTTTTCTCTAACTTCATGTTAGCTGTAGTTCTGTTGGGGACATTTTAAATACCTCTGCTCTAATTTGTAGGTCCTAATTATTGGGGACCTTTGTTCTTTATCAATGTCTCAGTATTTAATGGCTTTATTGTGACAAATAAGAGAGCTTGATTTAATTTTCAGGAGAAAGTTCTTCATCCGGACCTCGAGGTTTTCCAGGTAAAAAATGGGAAACATTAAATTGTTTTATTTTTTTTAATAAAAAAAAAAGCTCTGCTTGTTATACAAATTTACAAAGGAAACCATTGTAATAATGGTAACTACTACGTGCTATTTATTCAATTTCTTTAAAGTCTTTGAGTGTCAGCTGGGTGTACACAATGTGGAACTAATACCTTGCTGCAAAGGTTGAAGACCTCAGACATTACAACAGAAAATGTTTTAACACAGTCCCAGCTTTAGAAGAATAAATAATGTGAGAGGACTATACATTTATATATGGAGTATACATCTGAACATGTGATGCTATGTTTTCCTACGCGTTTCACTAGATACAGCAATCTGTTGTTACACACTCTGAACAGCATTACCCTTAGTTTAGTTTTTTTTTATATGTTCAGGTTAAAACATAAGGAACAATCCACAAATTATCTTTTTTACCTGGATTTTCTAATGCCCTTGCACTCATACTGTATTTTTTTTTCTCTATAATTTTATGTTAATATTTATTTCCAGGCCCTCCTGGTGTTCCTGGGCTCCAAGGACCAAAAGGTAAGATTATTTGTGCTCAAAAAATGCTTTCTAAAGTCACTTGGGGAATATTAAATTCACTATAAAATGAATATTGAGATCAATGATTTTTTGTTAAACTATTTACATGACAAAGCATGTACTGTAATCAGTACTGTAATCAGTAATGTATAAATGCAGTGTTCTATTTTAAAACTAGCCACACGTGGCTTTTAATGCATGGACTCCACAGCAACATTACAGGGGTTTTCTTCCAGGAGTTTCTGTGTCTGAAAGATAATTGAGCTCTAAACAGGATAACTCAATTACCTCTCAGATACAGGAAATAACATACAATCTTACAAATCACCCCAAAAACATAAAATATTTTTACAGGAACCCCACAATTCTCATATTCCCAAATAGCCTGTGTCTGAGCGCCCAACATATCCAAAAAGCGTTCTGTTCAGTGAAACGGAATCGCCATTCAGAAGAAATTTCGACCGGCCGGCCACGAGGGGTGCCCCAAAAGAGTTCCAGAGAATCCAGGTCAGCGGCCAGTCTCTGTTTGGGGGTTCCTGTGCGAACACCAACGAATGCTCCCCCTGTGCTTATAGGTAATAGTTCCTATCTCCCGAACGTGGTTCGTGTAGCTTGTCGGGAAAGTGTACGGGCAGCAGTACCATCTTTGCCAGGGTTTCGCAAGAGTGTGTAGCCAATATGAGTTCCACACGCTCAACGACCATGTACTGCTGCCTGTGTTCGGTAGACAAAATGGCCACCCAGTGAAAGCACTCAAATAAATCCTTTAATTGCGGTTAACAGCCGGGGGTGGTCAGTGTTCTGAGTCAATAAAAAGAGGGGGACCCCACAAGTTCTGTTCAGTTCACGAACGAACAGGGGGATACGGGTCTGTTTGGTAAAACTACACATAAGTTCGGTCAACCCCATGGAATGATAATAGGTACACCACACTTCCAACTGAAGAATCAGTCATCAGGCTAATGCCAAGATTCCAATTTGTATCCATGACAAAAAAGTTTAATAAACTCTGCTATTAAAAGGATGACTCACAGATCATATACTAGAATGAGCTATGTTTGTTTTACCAATAACCTTAACCTGTCATTGTATCTTTTTCCCTGTCTTTAGGTGATAAAGGCTCTCCAGGTACCACAAGTACACAAGGATCAAAAGGTAATAGGAATTATATTCATATCTGCAGCAATTAATCTAGCTATTGGCTGAAAAAACAAGATATTTGTGATGGGGTCTGTCACGAACGCACCCTACTCCAAGAGTGTGCGTGACGTAGTTGTGGTTGTGAAAGGGTTAAAGTTCACTATTTGTCTGCACTAGACCGGAAATAATGACAAAATCCCCCTTTAACACCACCCACACTTAAACATAATAATATAACTATTACTATTTTAACGCTGCCACCACCAAGACAATTTATAAATGGGGTGCCTTGGTCCCCCAGGTAAATCAACAATAAAACCCACCAAATATTACTTAGTACAATATTCAAGGAATTACAAAAACACTAACTAGTCTCTTCAAGTAACGTGATTCTTAACCAGACAAAGGCAAAACTTAATAAATGAATGTTTATTATGAGCAAAAGATAGTCACAGTGCATATAAAAATATATGATAAACAAATTATTTACACCAACAACAGATAAAAACAAAAAGGATAAAATACAGAAGTCCTAATTACTCACTTAGGTTTTCAAAGTACAACTTATGTCCAGGGGGTCTCTGGCAAGGAAAGATGGTGACTCACTCAAAATTAGATCTTGGCCCCAAGCAAGTACACCAACACCCTTCAGGATCATTAGATATATACCCTGTGGTTTATCAAGTCTTGCCCAGGGGTGGAGTTAAGGCGTACCTACAGAAATAATAACTGACCACCTCCTTTGTTCCAGACCACTGTCAATCTAAATGGAAACATTTGACTCTATCTTCTTTTTTGTACCTGCCACAGAAATAATAATTGCATCTACAAATTTGTTATTATTTTCCCATTCCATAGACATGTTGCATGTCCCACCCACGATCCAATAGGACAGACATCACAATTCCTTTCCCTAGGGTCAAGTTAGGCCACTCATGTTTGGACTTGGTTAGAAGATGGCGCTTGTCACATTCCAAATATAACAAAAATGAGGCTTAATTATTATTCTGTGGGGGTAAATATGAAAGTTTTTGTCCTTCCTTTGGATATGATACTAGAACAAAGCTAATGGCATTTACATATCAAAGAGATTTACTCATCACTTACAAAGTACGGGCCAAATGGATGAAGAGACATTCAGACTTTTTCCAAGTGTTGAACCTCACACCTTGCAGACTTCACATCCATACAGTAAAATCCTTTTCACATCCCTATGCCATTCACACTACCCCTTTTGTCATCTGCCCTCTGTGGGGGGGTCCCAGCTTCAAAAGATGTAACCCCTGTTGACCTCAGCAATAGCATCTCTGTAATTTGTGCCATTTACTACAAGAAATCACATTAAAAGATGATATTCCATAGTGTCATAATAAATTATACACCCTTGCCGTGACACCTCCCCCAAATAAGAGACGCAATGGGAGAAGGCTCACATGCCTCTACCTTGTGTATCAACACTTGTTCCTTTTTTGCCTCCACCTCATATACTCATCTTTTTCAGGACTCTGGTTCTACATGAATGGGGTAACCCTCACATGTTCACACACCTCCCCCAAAAAGGCTTGCCCTTTGTCCCTAAGCCATATCACAGCCATATCCACAACACGCATGCCTGATTTGCCTGTTTCCATCTCCCACTGCGCTCTGATCACATCTCTCAGGCCACACCCACTGCGCCTGTGTAGTAGCTCTAAGGGGAAGAAACCAACCGATTTCTGCAGTACTCCCCTGTAAGCACACACAAGATGAGACAGAGGACACCCCCAGGGTACCTGCACTGTATCCACACTCCTTATCTGTTTTATTTTGTGGTCTGTCTGCTGGGCTCGTTGCACCTTTTTACTCTGAACCTTTGGTTCAGAATCAAAAAGTTGCTTAGAGACAGACGCCTTCTCCTGAGCTGGCTTGGGTGTATGTTGGAGGTGTGATTGTGATATGCTGACAAGGAGGGTGGTTCCCCCATCAGTATGTTCCCCTGCGGCCATTTTCCCTGGACCCACAGGTTGAGACTGTCCATGCCCCTCAATTTGGGCAGACCGTGGACGGGTCCCCCTATCTACTGATGGAACCTCTGTCTCTCCCTCACCTCCTCTCCATGTCCTCACACACACAGCACCTTGGGAACTGGCTGAGTCTTGTGCAGAGTAAGGCTCACACACACTCTGCCCTCCCTCAAAGCCATGCTCTCCCTTCACACTTTCACACAGCCCAGCCAATACATTGGCGTCAGGCAGATTTTGGCACACATATTCATTCAACCCTCTCTCTCTAGAATTCTCTTCCTGCACATTGTCACATAACACCTTTAGCACCCCTTGGTCAGGCACTGGATGTGAAACACACTCACGTAATTTCCTCTCCCAGCTAGGCCATCCTTCCATAATCTCACATAGCCACTCACTTTGTCCTTGTTCTGGCACCTGACATACTCCTGACTGAGATACAGGTGAACACATCAACTCATCCTGCCCCGCCTCGCTGTGCAGCTGTTTTTGCCCACTCACACATGGTATTGCAGGCACCCCTAGTACTGGCACAGACACGCACACATGCTCAATTTGCCCTCGCTCCCAGCACAATTGCCGGCATACACCTTCACCTGTTTCCACAGACACCCCTGGTTCAGGCACAGATTGATACACATTCTGCCCTCCCTCCCAGTGAAGTTGTCCTGGCAAACTTTCACCTTGTACCACAGACAACTCTGGTTTTGGCACAGCCTGGCACACATGCTCATTCTGCCCTCCCTCCCAGCAACTTTGTCTTGGCACATTCTCACATGATATTGCAGACACTTCTGGTTCAGGTACAGACCAGCACACATGCTCAGTCTGCCCTCCCTCCCAGCACAATTGTCTGCATACATTTTCACAAGTTTCCACGGACACCCCTGGTTCTGGCACAGATTGACACACATTCTGCCCTCCCTCCCAGCGAAGTTGCCCTGGCAAACTTTCACCTGATACCACAGACAATTCTGGTTTTGGCACAGCCCGGCACGCATGCTCATTCTGCCCTCCCTCCCAGCAACTCTGTCTTGGCACACTCTCACATGATATTGCAGACACCTCTGGTTCAGGCACAGACCCACACACATGCTTATTCTGCCCTCCCTCCCAGCACAATTGTCTGTATTCATTTTCACATACTGCCCTCTGCACAGTAGGGCCCCTATGAGGCTTGGGTTTATAACACACATTACTTTCTGGCACATACTGGGATAACAATCTACCTAAGTCAGTACCAAGTAATACATTTGCAGGGATATTCTCATCTACCCCCACATTTCTAAAACCCTTCCCCGCTCCCCAATCCAAATAAACTCGTGCCATTGGCACTACAAGTTGTACCCCCCCAATTCCTTTAACTGCTAGAGTCCTGCCAGGAATTAAGTCCTCAGAGCACACTAGCTCTGGACGCACAAGAGTCACATCTGCCCCAGTGTCCCTGAGTCCCTCTGCAGCCTCTTCCAACTGTCACAGGCTGCAGATTCACATTGTTGCTGCCTTCTGATCTGGTTACAAACAACACAGAGGACATTGGTTCTGAGGAGCGTCCCTCCCCAGCTGATGATGCTGGCTGCCGTTTCCCAGGGCAAGCAACACTAATGTGCCCAACTTGGTTGCAAATAAAACATCTGCGACTATCTCCTTGCGCAGACATGGCACTAGCTCCCCCTCTCCCTGAGGTAGGAGCTGAAACAAAAGATGGCCCGCTAGGCCTGGTGATGGGGAGTCGTGGTGGTGTGGTCCTCCAGCTGGATGTTCCCTTGGCAAACCCTCTGCTCCGGTCCACTGTTGCTCGGTTGGCAGTGTGGACATCTGCCAGTTTACCCGCTTCCAATGCTGTTTTGGGGTTCTGGTCCAGCAGCCATTCCTGTACATCAGCTGGGCAGAGCTGCAAAAACTGTTCTTTTATTAACAGGTCTTGCAAACTTTCCAAAGTGGTAATCTCCAGCCTTGTAGTCCACTGTCGGAATGCTGTCACCAGGTGCCCCACAACTGCTGCATAACTTTCTGTGGGATGCTTTTGCAAAGTCCTGAATTTCATTCGGTACACCTCAGGAGTAAGGTTGTACCGTTCCTGCAAGGCAGCCTTAATCGCATCATAGTCCTGGTCAAATTCTGCTGGAAGCGCAGCAAATGCTTCCAGTGCAGGACCTCTGAGACCAGGGGTGAGGTATTTTGCCCACTGGTCCTTTGGTAGCTGGTACTGCCTGCAAACTTTTTCAAAACTGCGCAGGAAAACATCCAAATCACCATCTTTATCCAAAGTTGGAAAATTCTCTGCACGTGGTTTGGGTGCAGAAGAGTCTCTGGAATTAATACTTATAGGGGAGGCAGTCAACCTCTCTAACTCAGCCATTTTTAGCTCATGCTCTCTGGCAGCTTGTCGCTCGGAGGCCTCTCTCTCAGCCTGCCTCTCTGCAGCCTCCCTCTCAGCAGCCTCTCTCTCCCTCTCAGCTTGGCGCTCCCTCTCAGCTTGGCGCTCCCTCTCAGCTTGGCGCTCCCTCTCAGCTTGGCGCTCTCTCTCAGCTTGGCGCTCTCTCTCAGCCTCCTGATACTGAAAGATAAGCTGTAGTCTTTGGTTTGTGTCTGCTGAGTCCACATATTTCAACACAGTTTGTAAGTAACAATCCAGAGGATCTCCAGATCTTGGTACATCACTGACAAAAGCTACAGGTATCTCCTCTGCAGTGTTTGAGGCATCACTTTGCACTGCTTGTTGCATATCATAGTCCACCAGTGCTTGTAATAGTTCCTCTTTTGTTTTCCCCCGACAGGGAATAGATCTCTCCCGGCAAAGCTGGTCTAGTGCTGCCTTAGATCGCGCCTGGTACTCCATTTAGTAAATAAAAGATAGCAAAGAAAAACAGAGAAGGGGGGGGACTGTTGAGGTGTAAATATATTATATATGCACTGAGTTTAGCCTTTGGAAATTGAGACACAATTTCTTTTAGTGCCTGGATTAACCAACAAATCCAGCAACACTAAAATCTGGTACAAAAAGATGAAAAATCTTTTTAGTTATCCCACCGCTATGCCACCAA